TATATTTCTCACATATGGAGTATGTGACCTTTGCTAGTTTATATTTAAGAGTCAATTGTCGATTTACCTCCTGAACTTTCACTTAACTTTTGATTTTTATTGGAAAATTAAGAACTCAAACTAATTTTTTTAGCCGATTTGCCCCCTACCGTTAGTTTTTCATATATTTCATCTATATTTCTGTTAAGTGAGACCATGTGCACAACATGTGAAAGTAATTAAATCATTTCATTCTTAAAAATGATTAAAAAACTAAAAATAAATAAAAAAAACAACTTTTTACCGCCAATCATTGTGCAGTGTCCAGGTTTTTTTTCTTCCTGTAGAGCCGCCCATCAAATCAAACAACTTACAGTCTTTTCTTTGTCTCTTTCTGTGTCTATTTGTGTCTGTCTGAATCTGGATCATGGAGGCAGGAAACCGTGATGGATTTTTTTTTTTTTTGTGTGTATATCAGTTGTCTTTGTTTGTAGATAAATGCTTAAAATACTCTTTCAAAATGGAATTTTCCATAGATTATTTGCTAAATAACAATTTCTTTGCATTGGGATTCCTGATCCCTTTGGAATCAAAGATTTGTACATCGACAAACTGGACGAAATTTTATAAAGCCATTCTTTGATTTAATTTTTCTTCCATTGACTAGTTTAAAGTAGTGCATGCAGCACGCCTAATTAGGCTTGTGACCTAATTCGTTTTATTAATCTAAACACAGATATGAAAAAAAATAAAAAAATAAAAAAGAGAGAGAGAGAAAGATATCATGTGTTTGAAAAAGAAGTAAAGTAGGCAGCTTCACCAACCCACTAGTCCTTTTATACCCAATGAAAAGGGTTTTGTATCCAAATCTCAGGCTGCATTTTATGAATAACTATTTTCCATTTTTTTTCTTTTCTTTTTGGAGTCAAGAACGGCATATAGCTGCACTGCAAGAGCAACTTGAATTATATGTGTAGAATACAATATTACTGGCTCCCAGAATATTGGCTTTTATATAGCAGCAGAGTTGGCATGATACAATAAATTATTCAACTTTCCATTTGTTTTTCTATGAATGTTTACAAAGTATGTTGCACATGCTGTTTTGTTGTTTTCATATAAACAATTGGATTTGGATCCTCTTCTGAGCTCAGAAATCTGAGCCCCCTGACCAAATCACACAGACAGTTGGATTTTGATCTAACGGCTGTAATTATTATAACTTTTGGTTTGTAGCCGTTGGATCAAAATCCAACGGCCTACGTGATTTGGTCAGGAGGCTCAAATTTCTAAGCTCAGAAGAGGATCCAAATCCTAAACAATTATCAGTGGCAAAGATAAGTCTCTTTCAATAATAACGTAAGTGGTGGTCCTTTTCAGTCTGCACATCAGTTTTGATTGAGGAGAAATATTTACATGGAACGGGTTTATAGTTACGTGGTTTTTTTTTTCTTCAGTAATGCATTATTATGTGCAAATTTTTCTCTACATGACAGTGTATTACTAAATCGGAAAGTCATGTGATGGTGAATTCTTTCAATGTAAATTGCTCTCTCGATCGAAGCCCAAAATCTTGTAATTAAGCCTTTTGTTATATATTATTAGCCTTCATGCACGCGCTCATACGCGTGCAGAAGACATTTTTTTAATCATGGCATACTACACGCAACTTACACGTTTTAAATCATGTTATAAGAAAAGTCAAATATTTGAAGTAAATGAATAATTTTAGATCATGCTAGAAGAAACCTCTCATAACCAATTAAAGAAACTGAATTCACATAATAAAACCAATCTCTATAGAATTTACATTAAGAATAGAGAAAATAATATTCAATAAACAATTGATCGAATCACATTACTGTTAGCTCATTGTGAGGCAAAGCCCACTCTCTCCCACTCATTGTAGATAATATCGTTTGTTAAAAAAAAAAATCATTTCACAACTAATTTAATCACATTATTATCCGCGTGCGAAAGATTTTTTTGAACGTGTAGACTAGCATTACAGGTCTCTTAAGATGTTTTGAACATGTTTAAAATAAAGAGAATAATATTTAATAAACAACTAATTGAATCACATTATTGCTAACTCATTATGAGACTAAGCCCACCTCTTTTCCCTTTAAGTATAGATAATATCGTTTGCTACAATAAAAAACAAAAAAAAAAAAAAAACATTCATTTGACAACTAATTTAATCACATTATTATCCGTGTGCGAATTTATAACTGGCATTACATGCCTCTTCAGATGTTTGGAACGTGTTTAAAAATAAATAATTGAATCAAATTATTGCTAACCTATTGTGAGGTACTAATTTAAAAAAAAACCAAAAAACATTAATTATTAAAAAAATACTATTAAATGACGAAAATGCCCTTACCTTATTTGATGCATTATTTTGGGATGCCTTTGCAGTTTTTTGTTTTGGGGGCATTTTTGTCCAATTATTTTTGGTAAAGCATTATGACACCAAAACACTATTTACCTTTTGTGTTCTCTTTATATATAATAGATTATAATTTCCACCGAATTAACTTAATGAATTTTAATGAGGAGAAAACAAAAACAGTATACAATTTGAAAACTATTTCTAAAACTCCATATATACACACATATCACTACCCCTGCTTACACATATTGCATGTCTGGATTCATTGTTGCTCTTCACTCCTAGTTCTTTTGACAACTCTCTCTCTCTCTCTCCATGGATGCTGATCCTTTAGAAAAATCATCATCCTTGAGCTTGCCTCTTATTCTTGGTGAGGAGCAGCATGAGCAAGCTGGAAGCAAGGTAGTAGAAGAAGTAGAGTCAAGCTTTCATCACCAAACTACAGCCACAACCTCCTTCCTCAAAACCTGTTTCAATGGACTCAATGCACTCGCAGGTAATTATCTACTTCTTAATTAATTATGTCAAATTCTTCTTCTCAAATTATTATTATTTTTTTAAGAAAGCTTAATTAAGGCATAAACTTATCATCTGAACAACTTTTTTGGTGTTCCTTGCTAGAATATGTTGCCTCTTCATTTTGCACTCAGCAAGTTTAGTTATGAACAAATTTATTTTATATTTCATACTGTTAAGTCTGATGATGGCTAACCTCATCTGAGACTATAGATGGTGATTTTCACACTCTTGTTTTCTCCTTTCTGCACCTCTCCTTTTTCTTTTTGTCCCTTCATTCTCCTTTGATTTATTCAATCTAAAGGCTAGAAAAACGAAGAGTGGATATGGAGAAAAGTGGGGTGTGAAAATCACAACCCAGGTTCATGTGGAACCATGACTTCTGATCTGTGCCTGATTTCATATCGTTACATTTGCATTTTAAATGTTCTTCACTTCTAGCTCAAGAAAAGTTAGGTTTTAATGCCCAAAATTGTGATCTTTTCGGTTTTCAGGAGTAGGGATACTGTCAGTTCCTTATGCACTAGCATCAGGAGGATGGCTAAGCTTGATCTTCCTTTTCTTAGTTGCGGCTGCAGCCTTCTACTCAGGTTTGTTAATCCAGAGATGCATGGATGTGGATTCTGACATAAGAACTTATCAGGACATAGGTGAACGCGCATTCGGGAAGAAGGGAAGAATACTGCTGTCGATTGTCATGAATGTAGATCTGCACTTGGTTGCAACGGGGTTCCTAATTTTGGAAGGAGATAACTTAAGCAATTTATTTCCTGGCGTAGAATTAGACGTGGCCGGATTAAGAATTGGCGGAGAACAATGCTTTATAATTGTTGTTGCCCTCGTTATTCTGCCAACAGTTTGGTTAGATAACCTGAGCCTTCTTTCTTACGTATCTGCAAGTGGAGTTTTAGCCTCTGCCATCATCCTCGGTTCGATTTTGTGGACTGGTGCTTTTGAAGGAATTGGATTTCATGAAGAGGGCACACCACTGAAGTGGAATGGAATCCCTACGGCTATTAGCTTGTACGCGTTTTGTTACTGCGCGCATCCGGTGTTCCCGACCCTCTACACTTCAATGAAAAACAAACGTCAGTTTTCCAATGTAAGTAGAAACTTGTTACCAAGTGACATTCATTCTATTTGGTTTCAGGATTTTTATCAATCTGTTGTTTCCTTGTTGCAGGTTCTTCTCGTATGCTTCATCTTGTGCACCATCTGTTACGCATCAATGGCAGTTTTCGGGTACCTAATGTTTGGATCTACGGTTCAATCACAAATAACTTTAAATCTCCCAACTCACAAAATCAGCTCAAAAGTCGCGATATACACCACGCTGGTCAATCCCATATCCAAATATGCTTTGATGGTTACACCAGTTGTGAATGCTGCAAAGAAGAGGTTCCCGAGTCACTACAACAAGAAACTCATCGGCATGTTAGCCAGCACCACCTTGGTGACAAGCACCGTTATAGTAGCTTTGGCTATACCATTTTTCGCGTATCTCATGTCACTCGTCGGAGCATTTTTGAGTGTAACAGCTTCAATTATATTGCCGTGCTTGTGCTACCTTAAAATTTCAGGTATTTATCGACGCCTTGGATGTGAGATGTTGATTATAGGGCTTATACTACTACTGAGTGCTGCAGTTGTTGTATTCGGCACTTACACGTCTCTAGTAGAAATAATAGGGCACTTGTAAACGGATTCTCTTTGTGGCCAATATATTTGTTTCGGTGGCAGTTTTCAAATCCGTCCTCTCTTTCTTTCGAGATAGTATATCAGCAAGCTGCTGCAGTTTGTACCAATCTGCATAGAATGAAAAAACAGACTCAGAGTTGGAGAGGTCTAGGATTTGTAAACAGGAGTGTTTTTAGTTATTGAAACTACAGATGCTTCCTTTATTTCGTTTCTTTGTGATCGAAAGGGCTTCTTTATCAAAGAAATTCCTTTTATTAACGATCCCATAACTCGGAGAAGACCCTCTCCGGAATGTAATGCATTACATCTAATATGATTGAAAATTCATCGTTTCTTCGATCCTACAAATCACAATTTGAGATACAGAGAGTTCACAGAGGAAAATGATCCATGTCGGACAACACTTACAAAAAATCAGCAATGTGCTATTCCATTAATGAATTTTGAAATAAAAGAGGTTACATGATAACTGATTTTGATTACATGTTAACCAACTTCATGTGCAAGCTCAATACATCTAGTATCTGGTAGACATCATCATAATCAGCTTGGGAATCATAGCCAGAAAAGAACTTATGGACGGACCCGCCTAACTCAACGCAACTCTCCTCCGCCATCTTCTTCATTCGTCTTTCTTTCATAACTTTCCTCAAATTTGCGGCTTTGTCACACATCTCAACTTCGGCAAACATGTTTGCGGCTATCACAAGATTCCCACCCCTCTTTGGCTCCAATTCAAACAACTTCTCTCTTACTTTGTTTCCTACCCCTTTGTCATCCTTGGCACTGTGAGTAGTGCATGCACTCAGCAATGTTCTCCATATCACGGGATCGGGGTCAAGGGGCATGCTCATCATGAAGCTATAAGCCTCGTTGAGACAGCCAGCACGGCCTAAGATATCCACCATGGCACCATAGTGCACCATCATGGGTGTAATCCCATGTACGTGTTCCATATCATTAAAGTATCGGTACCCATCCTCCACCAGTCCAGCATGGCTACAGGCACAGAGAAACCCAAGAAAGGTGACGTAATTCGGGTTTATTGGTGAGCTCAGCATCTTCAGGAAAAGTTCAAGGGCTTCCTTGGCAAACCCATGCTGTGCTAACCCTACAATCATGGCACTCCACGTCCGCACATTCTGCGTCTCCATCTTATCGAAAACTATCCTAGCATAACCCAAAGCCCCAGACTTTGCATATATGTCCACAAGTGCAGTACCCAACTGACAATTCAAACCCAACCCTCTTACAATTACTTGGGATTGAACCCATCTCCCAACGCTCAAGTTCCCAAGCTCCGAGGACGCGTTCAACACAACCACCATCGTAGTCTCATCCGGCTCAAACCCACAATCCCTCATATTCACAAAGTATTCAATCCCCTCGTCGAACCAGAAATTCTCAACGCAAGCGGTTATAACCGCATTCCATGAAACAACACTTCTCTCAAACATTTCATCAAACATTTTCCGCGCATCCTTAATTTTCTTATACTCACCATAAAAATGAACCAGATTGTTCTGAACATACACATCACAGTCCAACCCACACTTCACAACTCCCACATGCACTTGCTTCCCTTATTTCAGCGCAGCGGCCGAAGCGCAACACTTGATCAGGAAAGGGAAGGTCAGCTGGTTGGGTCGAACACCGCTGCGGAGAATCGCGCGAAAGACCCAGATGGCCTCTCGGGGGGAGTCGCTGGAGGCATAGCCGCGGATGAAGAAGTTCCATGACGACGGCGGTGAGGACTCAGAGTGGCTGAGGAGGGTTCGGGCGTAGGCGAAGTTTTTGGCGGGGGAGAGGGCGCAGAAGCGGACGAGCTCGGTGAGGAGAAAGTGGTCTTTTTGAAAGCCGGAGACTTGGATTTGGGCATGGATCTGAGAGAGGCGTTTGAAGGTTGAGCAGAGGCTGAGGAGGTGGAGACATTGCTGCTTTTTGGAGCCAAAGTTTGAATTACAGTTACTGGCGGTTGGGATTGGAAGCCGAACCATGCATTTTGATTTGGGGATTGGGATTTAGGGAGAACTCGGCATATAACGAAGTAAAAAGCAATAGTGTAGGTTAAAGTTTTAAGAGAATTTTAATGAAACACTTCTGATACTGTTTATTTTAACGAAATAGGACAATTTTATTCTAAAAAGTCACTTCTTGTATTATTCACTTATAACACATTTTTGTCATTTTGATTAAAACTCAAAGTTTTTAAACCATTTTCATTAGTTTTCCTTAAAGTTTAAGAGAATTGTTAGTGACACTCCAAAAATCTTATTTAGCATTCTAAACTTTTTAAAAGTAGAAAGAAAAATACAATTTTGAGGAGTGTAGAATGAGATTTTTGAAATACTAATAACAGTTTCCAAAGCTTAATTTCAAAAAAATTATTGAGATATTACATTTTTGTATCATTTGATGGGACGTGATGTGTGCATATCACATCAATTATCGAATCTATCTCATTGGATGATAATTATATGCATCACTTGTTACATGAGATAGTACACTAATATGATCTAAAATTGTGGAGAGATTTTTCAATGTGCTGGGAACACCACACGGTACGTCAAGTGTCATAATACAACTAGTTGGATATTTGCAAAAGAAAATAAAATTTACAACTACTTGTATTTTAACACTTGGTGTATCGAACTATGTTTCCGGCATACTGAAAAATTTCTCAAATTGTGGTCACCCTTGAGAAAAAGTTTCCACCAATTGTATTGTTACATTTGGTTTACCAGGCCAAGTTCCCGACATACTGAAAATTTTCTCCTCCCTAGCATTACTTTTTTGATAATTCCAAAATCATGCATTGAGATGTGTATTTTTTATTATTAACAAACGATATTATCTACACTAAAGTAGTAGAGGAGTGGGCTAAGTCTCACACTGGGCTAATAATAATGTGGTTCAAATTCGCCTTTAGCAAGAATCGAACCTAAAATCTTTACTTACAAGTGAAAAAACATACCACTAACTAACCCGTAATACTAAGTAACTGGATTGAGATGTGTATTAACTTGTCTACATGACAATTCTTTAGAATACTCTAATGAGTCATGACGTTCCAAGAGCATGAAATTTCTTTTTATTAGTCATAGGGGAAATGATCTAATTGTTGCTGTATGCTAACATGGAGAATCAAATTTAGAGACCTCGAATTAACTAGAAAAAATATGTTTGTAAATTATTTGAATTATTTTCAGGAAAACAAAACTGATAATTATATAAACCAGTTACCAGTTCTCCAAATAACCGTTGATAAGTATCTAAATTTTGAATTTATGAACTACGACAAAACCTTTATATATATAATTCAGAAACCGTTCCAAAGTTAAAATCTATATCCATAAAACCAGTCGATCGAACTTTCCCAGAGAGAGAACAACTGCAAAAATGGAAGACTGACGGCGTCGGAATCAAAATCTACAATAATGCAGTCTACGGGGATCCACACGACGACGAGTCCACCAAATCACCACCAAAGCCACCGCCACCTTCTTCTTCATCTCAGCCTCTGCCCCTGCTCCGACTGAACCCGGACCACTTGCACGGCCGCAAACGGCGTGCCGTTGCCAAAGGGGTCCAGAAAACCCTATCCAAGACTTCAATGCTGGCCAACTTTCTTCCCACGGGCACTCTCCTAACCTTTGATATGGTTCTCCCCGCTATCTACAGAACCGGGAAATGCGCGCGTCACCACCATGATGACGTACGGGCTCTTGGGTATGTGCGCCTTCTCATGCTTTTTCTTCCACTTCACGGACAGTTTCCGTGGTCCGGACGGGAAGTTGTACTACGGGTTTGTGACGCAGAAAGGGCTAGCGGTGTTTAAACCGGGCTTGATGGTGGAGGTGCCGAAGGAGGAGAGGTACAAGTTGGGGCTGTCGGACTTCGTTCATGCCATTATGTCCGTCATGGTGTTCGTGGCGATCGCATTTTCGGACCGCCGCGTGACGGACTGTTTGTTTCCGGGGCACGAGAAGGACATGGATGAAGTGATGGAGAGTTTCCCGTTGATGGTGGGAATCGTGTGCAGCGGCTTATTCCTTGTGTTTCCGAGTACTCGCTATGGGATTGGCTGCATGGCTGCGTGAATGAAGCAGATGCGTAATTCAAGATACAATTTATTTGTTTTATTAGTTAATGATGTTTGTGTTTCTGTAAGTTGTATTAATATGTTATGTTGTTTGTGTTTATATATATAATATATGTTATATTGGAGAGAAGTGTCTCGAGAACTTGGTTCGGTTCAACCAGTTATATTATTATATTTAGTTTATCCGTTGTTTATATCTGGTACAATAAAAAATTTCTTGTTATATTGATATGTTGTATTACGATTCACTTTGACAATGCTTTTGCTTTGAGTAATAGTATATTAAGTTGCAAATTTTATGCTTTATATATTTAATCTATAGATCATTAGTTGACCTAGGGCATGTGCTTGACTTGATTTCCTCTCCTAATATCGCTAGAATCTTCTTTTATATTTGCAAAAGAAAATCAAAATAATTATCAAATATAACATATGTTGTAATCGTTAATTTGCCTAATCAGTAAATATATAACATACGTTGTAACCATTAGCTTGCTAATTCCCAGATTCATTTTAAATAATCATTAGTTTACCTTCCAATATTGGTCTAAAAAGTTGTGTATATATCTGGACAATCGAGCATATATAGTTTCTCATCCAAGTTAAGGTGGATGAGTTTTAGATATTGAACCCACCCATCAATTATTTTCTTGTTAATTTGTTAATATTTCTGAGAAATGGCCAGCGTCAACAAAATTGTATTTTGCATGGCGGTCGTACTGTTTATAACTGTGACTACGACCATGAAGGCTCAAGCAACTACGCGGCTCCCAGACCCCTCATATCCATATGCAGTCTATCTCAACGACACCAGGCTGTCTTCCTCCGCCAAGGTCGCCGTCGCCAGTATGTAAACAACAAGTTTAATTAATCCCTAACAGTTCTCTAATACTAATTACTTATATACTATACACAGTTAATCGACTTAATTTTGTTTGTTGAATAATATGTTGTAGAATGTGACGGGAGATGTGCATGCTGCTTGTGTGTGCATAATCCAAAGCCCTATTGCTTCGAGTGTTGCGATGATCAGACAGGCACTGCCCCAACCCCGACCCCGATCCCGACGACCTCTGCTTTGCAATATGATGCATAATCCAACTGCTCTCAAGACTCTGAAGAGTGAAGGATGCCTTAACTTTTTGATTAATTAGTCAATAAATGGTTTTACTTCCGTCAAATAATCATCTGGATGAACTATATATATGTACTAATTTTTAAATGGAAGTTTTCACTTGAGGACGTGTTACACTAAAAAATGAGCCATTTGGTCATTTTGTTACTGCGCGCATCCGGTGTTCCCGACCCTCTACACTTCAATGAAAAACAAACGTCAGTTCTCCAATGTAAGTAGAAACTTGTTACCAAGTGACATTCATTCTATTTTGTTTCAGGATTTTTATCAATCTGTTGTTTCCTTGTTGCAGGTTCTTCTCCTATGCTTCATCTTGTGCACCATCTGTTACGCATCAATGGCAGTTTTCGGGTACCTAATTTTTGGATCTACGGTTCAATCACAAATAACTTTAAATCTCCCAACTCACAAAATCAGCTCAAAAGTCGCGATATACACCACGCTGGTCAATCCTGTTGAATTGTAATCTTGTCTTGACCCAAAAATAATTGATCCGGCCCATACACAAAGAAAGATCCATGCACATGCTAGAGAATTCTAGCAAAGTTCAAGTTGGTGGAAGAGTCTAGAAGAATGGTGAGGATTCCACCAACATACAAGATTAGTGTAGATAATTCTAGCTTAGGAAGGTAGTGGAATTATCTAGATATCTCTAGCATAATGTTTTCATGCTTCTCCAAGGTTCCATCCATGCCTATAAAAGGAGAAGGCATCCACACCATTTGTAACAACCAAGAGAGCAAGTAGCAAGAAGTGAGAGTGTCAAGTAAGAAGTAAGAAGAAGCAACAAAGCTTCTAAGAGTGTTTGAGTGTTTTCTCTTGTACTAAGTTTGTGAGTAAATAAAAACCTTGTGTAATACTTTGAGAATTCTTTCTTTCTCTTGCCTATCAATTCCGTTGCGTTACATTTTTCTTTGTGAGATAAACATCTCTAGAGTAGTGAAGCATTTTTAAACCCCAACAAAGTGGTACCAGAGCTATGGCTAGCAATGCTATGGCAGCCTTCCAAGTTCCAGTGCTCGACAACAACAACTTCGATAATTGGAGTATCAAAATGAAGGCCCTTTTGGGTGCACACGATGTCTGGGAAGTCATGGAGAAAGGCTACACTGAGCCAGAAGATGAAGCTACTCTGTCTCAATCCCAGAATGAGAGTTTGAAAGATTCAAGAAAGAGAGACAAGAAGGCTCTCTACCTCATCTACCAAGCATTAGATGACAATGGCTTTGAGAAGGTCTCGAGTGCAACATCTGCCAAGCAAGCATATGAGAAGCTTCAAACCTCTTACAAAGGAGTCGAACAAGTGAAAAAGGTTCGTCTTCAAGTATTAAGAGGTGAGTTCGAATCTCTACAAATGAAATCAATCTCTGATTATTTCTCAAGAGTCTTAGCCGTTTCCAATCAATTAAAAAGAAACGGAGAAAAGTTAGAAGATGTTAGAATTATGGAGAAGATACTACGCTCATTGGACCCCAAGTTCGAGCACATTGTCGTGACGATTGAAGAAACTAAAAACTTGGAAGAAATTAGTATAGAGCAATTAATGGGTTCACTACAAGCATATGAAGAGAAACATAAGAAGAGGCAAGGGAATGATGAGCAGCTCCTTAAGACGCATATCCAGCCAAAGAAGAAAGAAGAAAGCTTCGACAACGAGAGAAGTCGATACGGAAGAAGTCGTGGTCGAGGTCGCGGACGTGGACATGGGCGTGGATGTGGTTGGAACTTAAACAACCATAGCAACTACAAAAGAGGAGAAAGCTCAACAAAAGGTCGCGGAAGAGGACGCTCAAACTCAAGGTATGAAAAA